GGGGGCGGGGCGGGGGAGGAAGACCTAGCGCTATCTTCAGGGATAAGACCTACCAACGAACTAGTTCTTATTTTCGGGTTAGGTCTTATATTACAGAAATCATTGAAGATAGCGCTAGGTCTTACTTTCGGGGAAAGAGGAAATCCTTAAAAACAAACCTATCACAAAATTTTTTTTGCAACTTTGCCGTGGGCAACCTTCGGTTTCTACATTTACCGTCGTTCCCATCCTTGCACTGCTCTGTACAAATGCTGCCACATCCAGGTATGGATATGCATGAGATATGTTATCCATAATAGGGGTCTGCTTATAAACAATTCTCCCTGCGAATATCTGCGAAAGTTCTGCGATAATAGAGGCAAAAACAAAGGTTCTTTGTATATTTTCCTATTAGGCCCATTGTAATTTGATGTAATGCCGCACTATGGCCACTAGATGGAGCTGAGGAGCACAGGAAATAAGTATTTATCAGCTATGCTCAGCAGCTCCATCTAGTGGCCATAGTGCGGTATTACATCACATTACATTACAATGGGCCTAATAAGAAAATATACTAAGAACCTTTGTTTTTGCCGATGTTCGTACAGAATGAATGTGCTCAGAGATCTGGAGCCCTGCTTTGTTTCTGCACATATCTTGCCTCAGCGTACTCCTTTATATACAGATGAGATACAGGGTCTACGAATCTGAAGGAGAAAGAACTACGGTCATGCAAACATGGAACAGCAATGAATAATGATGAAGTCACATCAGTGTTCACTTTTATATAAAGTTTTTTTATTTTGATCCAAAATGTGAAGCTACATAAAGCGCACGCTGAGTTCTCTGTAATCAGAGTGCAGAGTCTGAAAAGCTAAAGACTTTCTACAGCTGATAAAAGTGGTTTGTGTTCGGCAGTCAGTGATAACGCTCTGGTGCAAAGTTTAACTTGTCTGAGGTCGAAGGTTTCCTTCCACTGGCATGAAACCGCGGCTCGCATTTTACAGAAGTGGCAGTCACAGTACACAGACATTTCTTCATGTTAAGTCCATGCGTGCTGAGTAATGTGTATTAATTACCCCTGACAGAGATCACAGGACTCACCCTGACAATGCCTTTGTCTGCGTTTCCCGCCTCAAAGACGCAGCCATCTTTGTTCAGGCATCACCCAGGGTCACCATCTACTTCCTGGACTGAGATGTCGGCTCAGAGATGACACAGTCATGTGTCAACACAGCCAGTTCTTGGCTGTGTTGACAAATGTTTAACACAGATCAGCCCCTGGTGCAGCCTCTCACCTTGTGAGTTGAACAAAGTTACAATGTTGCAGTCTGATCACTGGGGGGAGGGGAGACATAATGTTGGCAAGTACGGTGAATGTAAAGCCGGATTATACTTCCAACAGACATTGCTAACCTCGAGGCTGCGTTGTCTCAGCTGCTGATTGTTGATATAATATGAAAATGCTGATTTATTATTCAAATACATTATTTATGGTCATAATAAGTATTCATCCCTGTGCTCCTCAGTAGGGCTGCAGCTAACGATTATTTTCATAATCGATTAGTTGGCCGATTATTAAGTTCGATTAATCGGTTAATCGGATAAAAAAAAAGGCTCCAGTGATTGACGACTAGTTTGTGTTGAGATTGTAGTCCATCACGGGAGCAAGCTTGGCGCGGTGGAAGTAAAAAAAAAGTGTGGTGTGCAATATAGTACATAATACAGCGGCGCAGTGCAGAATACCAGCAGCTATAGAGGAATGTAGCAATAGTACATTATACTATAATGTATTATTGCTGGGATTTGTTGTTCCTCTATAGCTGGTGGTATTCTCCATTGCGCTGTATAATGTATTATTGCTGGGATTTGTTGTTCCTCTATAGCTGGTGGTATTCTCCATTGCGCTGTATAATGTATTATTGCTGGGATTTGTTGTTCCTCTATAGCTGGTGGTATTCTCCATTGCGCTGTATAATGTATTATTGCTGGGATTTGTTGTTCCTCTATAGCTGGTGGTATTCTACAGTGTGCCGCTTTTTAAAAAAAAAACAGGAAACATTAAAACAGGTCCCCCTTACCTGTTTCTGAACCCTTGTAAGTCGCGGCGGCGTGCTCTGCGAGCGTGTGTGTGTCCGGCTTGTGTGGTGGGCGTGGCATACGCGGCGTGGTCGTGGCATACGCCGCGTATGTGCTCCTCAGCTCCATCTAGTGGCCATAATAAGTATTTATCCCTGTGCTCCTCAGCTCCATCTAGTGGCTGTAATAAGTATTCATCCCTGTGCTCCTCAGCTCCATCTAGTGGCCATAATAAGTATTTATTCCCTGTGCTCCTCAGCTCCATCTAGTGGCCATAATAAGTATTTATTCCCTGTGCTCCTCAGCTCCATCTAGAGGTCATAATAAGTATTTATCCCCATGCTCCTCAGCTCCATCTAGAGGTCATAATAAGTATTTATCCCCATGCTCCTCAGCTCCATCTAGAGGTCATAATAAGTATTTATCCCCATGCTCCTCAGCTCCATCTAGAGGTCATAATAAGTATTCATCCCTGTGCTCTCAGCTCCATCTAGTGGCCCATAATAAGTATTTATCCCTGTGCTCCTCAGCTCCATCTAGAGGTCATAATGAGTATGTATTCCCTGTGCTCCTCAGCTCCATCTAGAGGTCATAATAAGTATTTATTCCCTGTGCTCTTCAGCTCCATCTAGAGGTCATAATGAGTATGTATTCCCTGTGCTCCTCAGCTCCATCTAGTGGCCATAATAAGTATTTATTCCCTGTGCTCCTCAGCTCCATCTAGTGGCCATAATAAGTATTTATTCCCCATGCTCCTCAGCTCCATCTAGAGGTCATAATAAGTATTTATCCCCATGCTCTTCAGCTCCATCTAGTGGCCATAATAGGTATTTATCCCTGTGCTCTTCAGCTCCATCTAGTGGCCATAATAAGTATTCATCCCTGTGCTCCTCAGCTCCATCTAGAGGTCATAATAAGTATTTATCCCTGTGCTCCTCAGCTCCATCTAGTGGCCATAATAAGTATTTATTCCCTATGCTCCTCAGCTCCATCTAGTGGCCATAATAAGTATTAACATTTGGTACCTCTTGTCTTTCAGTATAAAAATGGGCGAACGCAGGAAGCAGAATGCAGCCAAAGGAGATCAGAAGAAAATGGCGAATGGAGCAAAAGAAGGCGACGGGCAGTGGGGCCGAGCCTGGTAAGAAAGCCAAATTACTCAAATATTCTCTAATCTGGTCACACTGAGGAGATTAAAAGTCTAACTAAACTTTAAATACAAAAATGTCATATCGCTGCTTAGCAGTGCTCAGATGTGGTGGCTGCATTCGTTTTCTTTTTCACACTATGTGCATTATCAGCAACAGAAAGCTATCTGTTGATCCTGCCAGAAATGAAGCATCCTTGTAACTTCGGGTGCCGAAATCTCAACAATGACATCAGCTTTTCCAGCTTGTTTCTGTAAACTACAAAACTCCCTCCACCCTTTGTAATGGAGATGGAGGAGGGCGGCCTTTTTCCTTTATTTTCACCTGCTGATCCTACCAACAGTGCACTTCCCGTCCTCACCATACTGAATCTACGAAGGCGAAACGTTGTCACACTAGGCTGCTCCTGTGATTTGGGCCAGAAACTCCTCTTTCCTTGTCTCCTTTAGGGTGGAGGGAGTTTTGTAGTTGTAAGTTGTCATTTTTTTAAGCTCCTGTCAATATGTCCTCGGATTGTTACAAGCTCCGATGTCTCTCTTTTGCAGGGAAGTGGACTGGTTCTCGCTGGGCGGAGTCATCTTCCTGCTGATGTTTGCTCCACTCATTGTCTATTATTTTATCATGTCCTGTGACCAGTACCAATGTGCCCTCACCGGACCTCTTGTTGACTTGTACTCTGGAAAAGCCCAGCTGTCCGACATCTGGAATAAGACCCCACTGCTGACCTGGAAAGCTGCCTACATCTACGCCGCCTGGGTCTCCTTCCAGGTAATCGTAATGTATAAAAGACATTTCAGCTTATTTGTGTATCACTCGGCTGTAGATCCTCCAATCATCTTTGAATTGGTGCTGACACTGTCCTTCCTTCTGGAGGGTGACTACGTCTGTTTCCCAGGGTCCCCGTGTGTGTTGTAAAGTAGTCACCGCTCCAAGCTCGCTCCCGGGTTGGACTACAATCTCAATACAAATGAGTAAACTAAACATGAGATTGTAGTCCATCCCGGGAGCGAGCTTGGAGTGGTGACTACTAACACACACAGGGACCATAGGGAACAAAAGTAGCCCACTTCCAGAAGGAAGGACAGTGTCACCACCAATTCAGAGATGATTGGAGGATCTACAGCTGAGTGATATATATATATATAATGAGCTGTGTGACTAAGCAACATATGGAACATTAAGCTTGGTAGGAGGTCAAAGTAACCAGAGTTCATGTAAGGAATTTAGGCTTTTTAGGTCGAGGTAACTAGAGTTCATGTAGGGCATATAGGCTTTGTTGGTTGAGGTAGCTAGAGTTCATGTAGGGCATATAGGCTTTGTTGGTTGAGGTAGCTAGAGTTCATGTAGGGCATTTAGGCTTTGTGGGTCGAGGTAACTAGAGTTCATGTAGGGCATATAGGCTTTGTGGGTCGAGGTAACTAGAGTTCATGTAGGGTATTTAGACTTTGTGGGCCGAGGTAACTAGTGACAGAGTTCAGTGACAGATGTCATAAACACATTTTCTGATCTTGGCATCAGGAACAATAGGTCTCATGCCAAGACAGCTGTCCTCTTTGAGGGATTCTTATTAAGACAAGAAGGCCCATCTACTTTTCTTGGAATGATCTAATAGAAGTACACAGTGGCATTTATATCTCATTATTGGGAATAATTCAAAGGAACACATATGGTTCTAATGTTCAAGTATTTATAGAAAGAGCCTGTGAGCCCATAATCTTTGAAGATGCCAGAATTGCTGCTTGTTCCCAGCCGACTAGATAAACCTTCTTGAAGCTCTGCCTGGTGTTGATCATCCGTTTAGTCTACTTCATCTCCCAACATCTTTGAGGGTCAAAGTAACTAGAGTTCATGTAAGGCATTTAGACTTTGTGGGCTGAGGTAACTAGAGTTCATGTAAGGCATTTAGACTTTGTGGGTTGAGGTAACTAGAGTTCATGTAAGGTAACTACACTGCAGTAATTTAGTGGGAATAAGCCTCATAAAAAACATTGGGTGTCCATTTGTCCTTGTATTTTTCTGTGGTGCACAGAAGTGGGGGGCTGGTGTGAACAAGACCTAATGATGATTTTTTTTTTTTTTGCAGGTGTTCTTGTATATGGCACTTCCAGATATCTGCCATAAATTTTTACCCGGTTATGTTGGAGGTGTCCAAGAAGGAGCTCGAACGCCGTCTGGTGAGTCTGATTTAATGGGCTTTGAGGAGCAAATTTCTCTTCAAACCCTTCAAAAAATCCCAATGCTCCAAAGTCAGATGTGCTGCGGCTGTGGGGGACTTTGCATTCCTCTACTCCCGCCAATCATAGTTTATTTAGCTCAGTAGAGATCAGATTTTACTAATCATAAAGTGCATTATCTCTTTCCCTTAAACGAGAACTATGGGGTAAGTGTTTTTCCCCATAGTTCTCCTAAGGGTCACGGGAGGACACAAACTAGCGTCCTCCCGTCACCCAAAGCTCAGTATACCGCGAGCTACAGCTCACTGTATACTGAGACCGCCGCAGCCGGGACGGACCCCGACATTACTGTCGAGATCCACCCAGCTGCGTGATTGACAGCTGGCTCTGCCTATATAGAGGCAGAACCAGCTGTGCCCGCCCCGTCCGTTCCGCCAGTTAGCGCTGGAGGATCGTAACGGGGAGGGGGGTGAGCCGGCAGGGAGCCGTGAGTGGCAGTCACGGTTCTCTGCAGGGACAGGATCGAGAAGTGAGCGAGCGAAGGTATGTGTTCGCTCACTTCTCGATCTACTGAGCCGACGTGCGACAGTCTCATTGTCACAGGTCGACTCGAATTATAAGGATGAGTGAAAGTTACTCACCTCATAGTTCTCCTTTAACCCCTTCATGACTGAGGCCCTTTTTTCAATTTTTGCACCCTTCTTCGGGACGCAGAAGCGATCTGGCGACAGGTAAGTCGCCAGGATCGCTTCTGTTGTAAAGCCGACAGTCGGCTCTACAAGTTTAAACAGACTCCCGGCGGCAAAAGTCGCCAGGAGTCTGTTTAAACAGCCCCGATGCTGGCGACGTACACTGTACGTTGTCAGTCACGAAGGGGTTAAAGTCACCCTCAAGCATTTATAGGCATCTGCAGACTTCCAGAAAATAATCTCAGCTTGTCTTGTTAGCCAACAACTTCTGGAGCCTTGCAAGTGTCTATAAATAGTTTATTTGATGTTTCATTTAGTATCTGTATCTGAATCTCCACTCTTAAGTGATTATAGTGCAGCTTTACCTTTTAGGGATAGTGGTTTGCTCTGTTATTCTTTTGTATTCTCCTCCCATCAGAGCAGAAGCATCAGCCCAGGGTCAGGTGGTAAGGTTCTACTAAAGTGTGGCGTGTCTGCTTCCTGAGCTCAGGCCTGGTAATATATACTTTATGTGGGCTACTCAATTAGCCCTCATTCACACTGGAATCGGCCCGCACGGACAGCTCTGTGCTGCGTGCACGGCCGTACCGAGCAGCTCCCGGGAAGCACAGGTGCTGCGTGTGATTAGTACGCAGCTCCTGTCCTTCTCTATGTAACTACGCGGCCGTACGCCCCTCTACGCTCACCCCAGTTGCAGGTCCACAGGGGTGCGTGTTTCCTTGCTCGGACGCAGACAGGATCCATCCATACGAGTACGCTCACACTCACCCACACGGACCTGTACTTGAGGTGAGCGCAGGGCGGCGTACGGCCGCGTAGTCACATAGAAAAGGACAGGAGCTGCGTACTAATCACACGCAGCACCTGTCCTTCCCGGGAGCTGCGTACTAATCACTAATATCACTTCAGTAGAAGGGAGGGCTGCGTAATCTGTTCATTCCTACAGCTGCTCCATATTCCATAACGCTTTTCAGTGTACATAGATTTAGGTTGCTGCGCTAACTGCCTTTTTCCCCCCTCTTTTTCTCCAGGAACAGTCAACAAGTATGAAGTGAACGGGCTCCAGGCTTGGATCCTCACCCACATCCTATGGTTTGCCAATGCCTACCACTTCCACTGGTTCTCTCCTACCATCATCATCGACAACTGGATCCCCTTGTTGTGGTGCACCAACATACTAGGCTATACCGTGTCCACCTTCGCACTTATCAAAGCTTATTTCTTCCCAACGAACGCCAAAGACTGGTGAGAGCGCTCAGAACATGAACTGGGTAATATGGAGGGATAGTTTTAGGGGTACAAGGAGGTTTGGTGTTAGGGTTAAAGGGAGGGATAGTGTTGGGGTTACAGGATGGGTGTAGTGTTGGGGGTTAAATGGAGGGATAGTGTTGGGGTTACAAGGAGGGATAGTGTTGGGTTACAAGGAGGGTTAGTGTTGGGTTAAAGGGAGGGATAGTATTAAGGTTAAAGGGAGGGATAGTGCTGGGATTAAATGGAGGGATAGTGTTGGGATTAAAGGGAGGGATAGTGTTGGGATTAAAGGGAGGGATAGTGTTGGGATTAAAGGGAGGGATAATGTTGGGGTTAAAGGGAGTAATAGTGTTGGGGTTACAGGGAGGGATAATGTTGGGGTTAAATGAAGAGATAGGATTGGGGCTACAGGGAGGGATAGTGTTGGGGTTACAGGGAGGGATAATGTTGGGGTTAAAGGGAGTAATAGTGTTGGGGTTACAGGGAGGGATAATGTTGGGGTTAAATGAAGAGATAGGATTGGGGCTACAGGGAAGGATAGTGTTGGGGTTACAGGGAGGGATAGTGTTGGGGTTACAGGGAGGGATAATGTTGGGGTTACAGGGAGGGATAGTGTTGGGGTTACAGGGAGGGATAATTTTGGGGTTACAGGGAGGGATAATGTTGGGGTTAAATGGAGGGATAGGGTTGGGGCTACGGGGAGGAATAGTGTTGGAGCTACCGGGAAAGATTTTGTGAGTGTCAGAACTAGGGTTGGGGCTACAGGGAGGGTTAATCTAAAAGGGGTGGAGCCTTAGGGTATGCCATTGTCTTCTGCGCCAGGAGAGAGATGCTCCGCAAAGCTTGAAGTCAATGTGCCACCAGTATAAGAATATTATAAGAAA